CTTGCCACCCCGCGCGCCAGTGGCCCACCCCACACGCGCACCAGTGCCCCACCGCGTGCGCGCAACAGTGCCCCGGTTCTGTGTCTTTCTGTCGGTTCTATGTCGTTTTGGTCGGTTTTGACCGATGTCTGTTTTTTCTTTTTTTTTCAGAATTACCTCCCGAAGTACAACACAGATGAACTTCCTTGGATTAGACAGCTAAGGATGATCATGGATCCTATACAGGAGTACTTCCCAGTGAAAGTCACTATGAAGTCAAAGATCGAGGCCCTGGAGGTAATACGGCAAAATTTAGACCCTGAAACTGAAATGCCAATTTTCAAGGAATCTGTCTTGAGACATTTGATTTCGATATCTAAATATATGATCTATTTTGGAGTGTTGACAGACTATCTACTTCTGAGGTAGATAGAAACAGAAAAGAAACATGAGTTGTGGTTCATGGTTAATGGAAAGCCAACTCGGTTCGAAATGAGGGAATTTGCCTTAATCACAAGATTGAACTGCGGGGAATTCCTAGAGCCTGATGTGTTGTTGAAAGCTTCGAAGAATCTAAGATTGTTGGAGCATTTTAAGACCCAAGTAGTACTTGTTGCTGATTTAAAAAAATTGCTCACAGAAAACAAGATAAAAGGTAGCGATAAAGCAAAGATCGCTATCATTTATCTTTTAGCACAAGTATTACTATCTGGGGACGAGAAGAAGACCGTCCCACTGGAATGGTTGTCGTACGTCGACGATTTAGATTTCTTTAACAGCTATCCATGGGGCAGGGTGTCTTTTGAAGGCACTTTGTGGTCATTAAGGAAGAACCTAAGGGAGAAATTTCAGAAATGGGTTCGGAAAAGAGGTCATAAGAGCATCAAGGAAACCTACTCAGTATGTGGGTTTCCTTGGGCCTTCTAGGTATGTCGTACAATTATATGCATAATTTTTAATCATGGCCTTATAGTAAATAATACATAGTTTTCCAACCATGGCATAATTTTTAACACAAGTTTGGGCATTCGAAACTTTTCCAACCATCGGTGCCACGTTTGCAAAGATGGTTGATGGACGTCTTCCCAGAATCCTCAAATGGGAGGCACGTCGGGTTTCATTGGTCGAGGTTGGACAGATAGACAACCTCATGCACAGTGGTGATGTAAGAGTTTGAATACAATGTGTTTATAGGTATTTTTTTCAATGTGTTTCCACCTAAATAATCATTTAATGTATTTTTTTTTAATATATAGGGAATGGTCGTACCAATTCTTTATCCCACTGAGGAGGAATTGAGTAGTATGAGCATGAGGTTGTATTTGCCTTATGCCAATCAAGAAGATGCAGAGATTGACCAGCTTGCATCATTTTTGGACTCTGGTGCAAGAATGGTCTATGTCCAGCAACCGAAGCCTCCCAAACAACTTCCCTAACAACAACAACAACTTCCCCAGCAACAACAACAGCAGCAGTAGCAACAACAACCATAACAACAACAACAACAACAACCTCGTCTGCAAGATGGTATGTATATTGACCGCATTCTTGACATACTCTATCAGAGGATGGTAGAGTACAATGGTAGACATTTTGAAGCCATCAACAAGAGGTTAGACTCACTTGACCAATCAATTAGAGAAATAAAGGTTGAAATAACATGTCTAGCAAAACAACAGTTACAGCCACAGCCAAAGCCTGAGCCTAAGGAACAACTTGAGCCACAGGTTCAGCCAGAGCCTGCGGACATCGGTGCGTCACAGGTTCATCCAGAGCCTGAGGACGTCGGTGAGCCACAGGTTCAGCCAGTGCCTAAGGAACAACAGATGTGACAGGTTGAGCCAGAGCCAGAGTTTGAATCTAATAATGAAAAGCGACTTAAAAGGCCCAGCAAGTATTCTGAGTCGCCTTACACATATCCCCTGCGTAAGGTGATGAAGAAGATGTGGACTTATAACGATGCTGTCGAGGCCTTCAAAAAGTGGTTGGATGATACGAGTACAAACTCTGAGCTGAAAGAGTGTAGCTTTAGTGATTGGAGGAAGGACTTCTTCCAGATCCTCTTGAAGCCAGGTGTTTGGTTGTTCAATGATGTAAGTAATGACAACATAATTTCTAAAATTATAGTCTTGTTTTTTTATACCATTATCATTATACTAAATTTATTTTTTATGACGAACAGTAAATTAATGAGGCATGGGGTCTTCTATCTATGAGAAGGTCACGGGCCAACGAAGGAGAGTTCAATAATGATATTATCATCCTAGATGATGTATTTGGCCAGAAATTGAGAGGGCAATTCACCGCCAACAAATCCTGCTTGGCAAAGTATACATTTGACACCGATCTGGATGAATATGTTGATGGTCTCCGAATCGAATTCGGATGCGGAAGCGTGGTGCAGGAAAGAGGCGGATCGTGTATAACAAAAATTTTCATAAAACTTTTGAGATACTCTATAGAATATATTAATTTATGCATGAATAAATTAATCTCAATAATTCTTTCATTAAGAACTCAATCAGGAAAAATACCTGGAAGCCGACTCGGATGATAACTTAAGTTCTTTGACCACGAACAGTCCTTGCTCCAATCTTTGTGTTTAGAAAACCAATGTCTTCCACGTCAATTCCTATAATCCACGAAGACATGTGTGTGGGCACACATGAGACAAAATGGGTTACAATAAACACTCGAATTTCTACAAACACCAACGCATGCACGATGTGGAATTTTTTGGAGAAAAAATTTTCCTTCTCTCTATTAGGGAATTTCGGCCACCTCTAAAATTAGGGTAAAAATTAATTCCAAAAATTGTCTCAAAAATTGTCACAAAAAATTGTGTACACAATTTTCTATTATTCTCATATTTATAGAGTAGAAGTCAAACTTCTAGAAGGAATCAAATCTCTATCTCCAATTTGAATTTCGAACCAAAATTCTCCTCTATCCTTATCCATTGTGGCCGGCCACCTTAGGGGATCTTCATCCCTGTGTGGCGCCAAATTGCAGATAGAAAAGGAAGAGAAAATCATCATTTATCCTGTAGTCCAATTTTGACTCAAATTCAAATTCTAATTTAAGTTAAACTTAAATTAATTTGAATTCTAAATTGAACAACTTATCAAATAAGTTTAAATGGATAAATCTAGATGTGTTCAAATT